ACTTTTTGCAAATAAATGATCTGCTATACCCACCTTTGGTTTTCATATACATCCTGGCATATTTGACTAAGATGGGTCTGACATTACTGAATTCATTAATTAGCCCTGCCCACCATAGCTTGTACTATCCTCACTTTCTCTAAATTGCTTGAAAATGTAGGATATTCAAGACTAGAAGTGCAAACTTCTTTTAATGAGCATCTTTTGAGTCATTTTTCTATTCCAGTTTTTACGGCTTAAAATTGAGGGGCTTTACCATGTTTGCAGCATTACAAAATTTTATTTGCTTTGAATTATATACAAGCTAAGTGAGAACACTAATTTTTTCCATCTATATCAACTCACTTAGCTCTTTGAAGACCCTAGAATTGCTTAACATTAATTCTTACCAAATATTCTTGAAATATTCAGTTAAGATTACCAATTTTTACTTACCATTTATTTATTCAGTTTTTCTAGATCCCTGGTCATGTTATAATCCAAGGAAACAAGCTTCCTGACACCACTGATAACTGCACATAACCTTGCTTATTCCTTATTTGGATTTCAAGCCCGTCATAAAGGTTAAGGCTTCATGCCAGTTGGTAGTTAATTTAGGATGAGCAGTGACTTAACAGTCTTGCAGGTAAAGCCTACTGTTGCATATTGACATTTTAATTTGTGCAGGAGTAAGAAAGAGGAAGCTCTTTTTTAGAGGCTCCACAATTGTCAATTTTTTAACAGATTCTTCAGAAACAATAGTCTCACCCATCTGCACACAGTAGCTATTTCTCATGCACCTGCTGTTGAGATTTTGTGAATGCCACTAGCCTTGAACTGTCTCCCACCTGAATCACTTGTTTTCATGTGAGGTAATCATCATGCAGCAATAGCCTTCCACCAATAGGAGGACAATACATCCCCCCCCCCATAAGCACTTACACTCAAAATTAACTTCATTCTTAAATTCGGCACTGCCTTTACCAGACATGTGTATTATTGCTCTTGAATTTTGAAAGATTTTGTATGACTTTTGTATTGATTTGATATAGTGTTCTTTAAGTGCATGTCTATTCTTCATTTTCGATTTTTGGGAGATTAACGATTCTATTTCTCACTTTTGTTCATTTTTGAACAGTGGTGAACTACAAGCTGTGTTAAGGTTATCTTTCCCATTGTTTTTCAACTCTGTTAAGTCGTGTTTCTGTGGCTTTGACTTTCTGAGGTTCTAACTGTGTTTACGAAGCAAAAATGTCATGGAATGACACTAGTCAATGTACTTCCACTAAGGTTATCTACAGAACTCAAGACACCATGCGACGTTATGTTTTAAAACTCCTCACAGCTTCTAACTTGTCTTATGGCTGCTGGAGGTTCTTCGTCTATGGAAGATTTTACTTCCAATTTTCACCATTAATAGATTTTTCCTTCCTTCCCAGTTCCTCTGTCTCCTGAGCCTGGCCATAAGATTGACATTTTTGTCCAGCACTTTCCACTGCCTGGTTTTGCTATGGCTTTATTGTTCACTCTGGAGGAAGCATCATTTCTCCTTCTCTCTGCTGATTGTGTCAGGTTTGTACTATGCTTTTCCTTTCTTCCATCCTATGTTTCTTCATGATTTTTTATTCCATGCTTTCTTGATGTAGTTGTATATTTTCCCCCTTCACCTGACTTTAGTATCTATGCCAAGATCTTGTCTTAGCATCAATTCCACTCTTCCCTGCTTTGTCCTCCTCATTTCTATGATTCCTTTAACATGACTTTTGGTTCCTCTCCTTTTACCTGCTTGGGGGCTGACCATCGGTCTCCAATGTCTCTTGCCATGGCTCATTTCTCCTGTCTTTGTCATCTCTTTGCTTTATCCCTTCACTATCAGTTTTCTTATTTTCTCCCATCTGAGGCTCTCTATCAGGATCCAGATAGTTCTTTTTTTTAGTGTCTGCAGTTGTTTATTTTCCCTACTTAGGTCAGGGTCTCATCATTGGCTCTCCTCACATGGTTTCTGTGTAATTTAGATCTATTCAAAAGTGACACCCTTTTCTCTGTTTCACCTTCCTCAATCCTCCCTATATGGCTTGTATCTCACTCCACTCGCTTCCCACAAGATATTTGGGGTGTTCCTCTCATCTGGCCATCAATTTTCTCTCACTTCATTACTCTCCTGTCTTGCTCATTCCTGTAATACTCTCATGTTCCATGGCCTGTGTGCCCCTGTCCTCTCTATCACATTTCCTCTTCCCACCCCTCTACCTCTTCTTGCCACTCCTGGGGGGTTAGAATTTGTCTGTCCAACTGATAACTATCTGTCGTTGTACCTAGTCAGCTCAGGTCTTATGGGGGCACTTCTTTTCTTCTTTGCTGATCTGTGGACTCATTTCACGGCCAACCATTAGGTCACTCAGCTTCATATCCACTGTCTCTCTTTTCAATTCTCTTCCTCCCCCTTCTCCATCTAATCCTACACCTTCTAATCCTCAGAATCTCCACCATATTGAGGATACAGTGTTGGAACTCTTGGTTTTGAGTGCCATACAGAGAGTTGCTTGCTCATCTCCAGGTTACTATTCTCATCTCTTCATTGTTCTTATAAATACTGGGGACTGACATCTCCTTATCGTATTTCTTCTCTCAACCACTTCTGATGATTCCCCAATTTCAGATGAATGGGTTTCTTCCTCTTAATAAATTGTTTTCCCCTGGCCTTTGAACAAAAATGATTCTTGTCTCAGATGCCTTTTTAACATTCCAATAGTCTCATCATTTTTCATTTTTTCTACCATGATACAGTATATCAGTTTTGGGCTCTATCCTTTCATTTGGCTCTTTACGTATTCAGCCAGATCTTGAGGGATTTTGCTCATCACAGCAACACTCTTAGCCTTCTTTCAGTTTCTTTTCTTGGACATTTGGCTGCTTTTCTCTTCTATTTGATAGACCTGAGAGGCTGTTCATCTGGGATAGCTGGTCTCATTTTCTTGGTTGTTCCTGACTCCACCTGAGATCCACCTGAGTCTTTTTCTCTTCTTACTTCATTTTGGCTCATCCTTCTCTCTTTCTTTGCAAGTCTTGGAGTGTCTGGTCATCTCAGCTCTTCAACATCTGGCTGCTCAGATTGTAGACACCCTCAACCTGTATTGGTCTCTCTTTTTTCCTCTTTGTGTTCCCTGCTCTCTTCCTTTCCCTATGTGTCTTGACAATGTTTTGTAACACTCCTTGTAGAGTCATTTTGGTAGCACCTTATTGACCAGCTTTGTCTTGGTATCCTCCACCAATTGACTTCTTAGGCACCTCTTCTTCCATCATTTAAGTTCCTTTTGCTCTAACATTCTGTATTATTCTTTCACCTGGGAGTGTAATCCCTTCTTCTCCATCTAGACTTCTCCTTCTGGTTGCCATTCTTTAGTCTGCTCCCCAATTTCAGTGGGGGTAAGTACCTCACTTATTTCTTTTCCCACTTTTAATAATAGTCTCATCTCCACCTTGAGACCCACCCTGTGGCCGGTGTTTCCTCACAGGGTATACTTACTTCTCTAAAACTGCAACAAGTCAGGGGGTAATGGAAAGTGTTAAGCCCATCCACCCTTGTTTCTACATAGCCACTGTAAGACCACTGTGGTGTGCAAGGAAGTGCATGCCAGCTTTCCAAAATAAGTTTTGTAGTAACCCATTGCACTTTCTCCAGTAAAATACCTTTGTGATGGTTAGGTATGATTGGGTCTAGGCACTTCTCTAGAGTCTCACCAATGCAAATCCCTCCTGGTTCAGTGTTGCACTGGAGACCCTTGTCATTCCTAGTTGCTGGCCACTGGGGTTGTCAACTTGGAGAGTTCTTCACTGGTTGTGCAATCCATTTGGAGAGAGTCCAAGTGGGCAGCACAGTGTGGTGGGAAGTAGGGCAGGAGTGTTCATGTCTGTGTAATATAGGTCACCCCTTATTATGTTGTATACTAATTTCCTGGTGATTTTGATCAACTGGATTGGTTAATATGATATTTTCATGAGGCATAAAGGGGCCTTAATCCCTGTTTCTGTATACATGGTAACTTGTACAGAAGATCAAATACCAAACTATATGATCTGATTATATCCCCAGCCACACTACACCTCATTGGCTCATTTTTGCCTTTCTCCTATCATACTTCCATCTGGACAAAGATTATACCCTGCCCCTCTAGTAAACCCCTTCTACTGGTTGTCATACCCCATATGCATTCCCCTTCTGACACCTCTGAAGCGAGCTTATGTAGGTTTTCTCATTTTCACTGGCTCCTCCGCCATATCAGTGTGGGATTCTATCTACTTTATGCAGAGAGGTAAGTGGATCATTTCAAAAATCATCTTATTCCTCACCTGAAAATGTATTTCTGTCAGATACCTTCACATCTTTCTCCCACTACCAGTGCACATTATTCTTGTCTTGTGAGAGATAGTTTAAAGCTAGTGGTGTGCACAAAATCTCGACAAGATGCACGTGAAAAATACCTATTGTGTACAGAGGGGTAAGTATTTATCATAAATACATTTTCGAGCAAGGAAAATGTTAATGTTTCTCTTACAGGAGAATAATCTACCAATATGTGGACAATTGTGACATTCAAGTCACAACTACCCACATTTTACTTTCATACCATTGCTATGACAATCACTAGCATCACTTTTTACACATGTATTTACTTATGGTGACCTACTGAAGTTGGACAGTGTCATAGGTGGTGATGAGACTGGCCAGATTGATCATATTTTTACCTTTTTGGGGCTAAAATCCTCTTTAGGTATATTTTAATATTCTAAGAAATATATTAAATGCATAAGAAATAAACTATGCTGTCTATATATTATATTTTTTATTATTCTATCTAACTTCATTCAAAGGTTGTTTTCAAAAACAAAAGTTGTTTGGTGCAGATAACCCTGGTGCTTTGTGCCATTAAGCCCTGAACAACCAACCAAACTTCATCTTTCCAAGTTAGAAGATACCACTTCACTGTTATATGTATATCTCTTGTTCTCCAACTTTCCAGGTCAATGGATATGACTTCACTATGGTGACACACAAAAAAGCTGTGGAGTACATTAAGAAACATGCTGTTTTGAACATGCTTGTAGCAAGGAAGGGAGTCACACATTCATGAAAGCATCAGTCGTCAAGACATTCAGTTTCTGTTGCTGTTGTGGCCTTCTGCACATTTTGTAAATGCACTAGCAGGCTAGTTGCAGTTTTTCTTGTCATTAAAGCATGAAACCTTTTTCTTTTAAAATGAGAACAGAGAACATAAATATTTAAAGTTATTCTTGCACGGTTAATTCCTGTACAGTTTATTTGTACAATTAAAATACATGTTAGAGTACTACTAGCAATGGATTCTTCTGCCTGGATTTTGATACTAGAGCATTTTTAGACTTTAAAGTGTCTTTCTTCATGTCTTGGTATCAGAGCTAGAACTGTTTATAATATGAACTGAAGTGGCAACAATTCACAAAACCTTCCAAACATTATGTATGCTGACTAGAATTATCTTTAAATGATAATATAAGATAATAAATATAAGTTTTCATTTTCCTCTTCTACAAATGTTAATGATAACTATCCTTTTGTGTGCAGCAGTGTAAATGTATCAGAAAGCTAGAATATCTCTTTAATTTAACATTACAACTACTATAACATTTGTATATTTATCAACTGTTTAAATTCTGATAAGTGTCAGGAAGGTTTCTCTTTATTAGTTACTCATGCCTTATAGACATCAATAACTTGCAGGTGATGTGAAAGAATTCAGCTGTTTTTTGTTTTTTTTTTCACAGATAGCAGTAGTAATGCTACATTTATCAGCAGCTTACAAGCAAGAACTATTTACTGCATGATAAATGTCATAGTTTATTTCATCTCTTGATAAATGAAAAGTTTGTACTTGAATTTTGTTTAATCTTTATTGTGTATCTGTAAGAAAATTGTTTAAATCAAGTTACATGTTTTTATCTGAATAGAAAAATAAAATCCTGAATTCCCTAGACATACTTATTTTTAGACAAGTTACATTTGATCTTCAATATGCTTTTCTGTGATTCAAGGGGGCCAATTTTGACCAAATCTTGTACATATATAATTAAAATATAAACTACCTGGCAAAATATACAGAAAAGTGTGGCAATAGTTGTCTATTACAAACGTCTAAATAATTTAAAGTTTGTATAATAAAGTGTGAACATTTTTCTTGCTGGACCACCTTTATATATATTTTTGTAACTTATTTTTCTTGATTTTACATAAAAATTCTAATGCTTAAGACTAGAACTCTTGGTATCTACTTCAACTGCTCATGTTTCATACATTATAAGTACCAGTAGTTATTAGTTATTTGGTTTCTGATCCTTGCCTTCATCTCCTTTAGGCTTGGTTAAGAGAAAGTCTGATTTAATTACAGAGAGTGAATGCAAGCATTTTACCCCTAGTAAGTTGGTAGGTCTGATAGCTTATATTGCTAAAAATCTGGTTTTGGCACTCATAGTGGGCACAGCATAGATAGCCCACTGTGTATCCTCAAGTGGCTCAATATTAAGTTTCAGAGCTTATCATAGCTTTGTACTTAATAACAAACAAAAAAAGCAAGCATTTTTTTTTATGCCACCAACATATTTCTGTGTTTTATCAACTTTTATAAATTACTATGAGTGTAGCTTTATACTTAATGATGAATAAATAAAGCAATCGTTTCTTCTTATTCTACCAACTTATTTCTCTACTTCTCCTACTCTCAAAAAATTAGTATGACAAACATCTAGCTCATAGTTCCACATTGGGCTCTTAAAACCTGTAAGAGTAATAACTAGATCTTATCATTAAGCACTAGATCAATAAAGGAGTTTGTTATGATAAACTGTTGGCTGTCTGTTGAGAGAGAGAAAGATGACAAGCCTATGGATAACGAAAAAGATTTGTTTGTTGATTTGTTTCTGTTTACTAGCACAGTATAGGTTTCTACTGATACATTGTTGATTTGTTTCTGTAACTAGAACAGTGTAGGTTTCTACTGATACTGTTAATTTGTTTCTGTAACTAGCACAGTGTAGGTTTCTACTGATACATTGTTGATTTGTTTCTGTAACTAGCACAGTATAGGTTTCTACTGATACATTGTTGATTTGTTTCTATAACTAGAACAGTGTAGGTTTCTACTGATACATTGTTGATTTGTTTCTGGAACTAGCACAGTGTAGGTTTCTACTGATACATTGTTGATTTGTTTCTATAACTAGAACAGTGTAGGTTTCTACTGATACATTGTTGATTTGTTTCTGTAACTAGCACAGTGTAGGATTCTACTGATACATTGTTGATTTGTTTCTGGAACTAGCACAGTGTAGGTTTCTACTGATACATTGTTGATTTGTTTCTGTAACTAGCACAGTATAGGTTTCTACTAATACATTGTTGATTTTTTTCTATAGCTTGAACAATTTAGGTTTATATATATAAATAAATATATATATATATAGCACAGTTTAGGTTTCTACTGATACATTCTTGATTTGTTTTTGTAATTAGGACAATGTAAAGTGTAGGTTTCTACTCATATATTGTGGATTTTTTCTGTAACTCGCACAGTTTAGGTTTCTAATAATGTAGTGTTAGCTTGTTTCTATAACTTGAACAATTTAGGTTTCCATATATGTAGAATGCTGAAGGTATCCCACACACTACAAAGTTGTAAAAATTCAGAAAACAGTCAAAATGGGATAGAAAAATATTAACAATGGAAAAATGTTTTTACTTGATTTATTTTTTATATACCATTTTAACTGTTTTCTGAATTTTTAAAAGTTAAGTTTTCTATTGATACATTGTTGATTTGTTTCTATAAGTAGTACAGCACGTATTATTACTGATGTCTTTCAAACCCATGTTTCACGGATATAAAATTTCAAAATAAAGAACTGTCATGAATATTTGAAAGTATAGAAAGTTATGTTCATGGGACTATAATTGTAGTTGTTAATCGTCATATGTAATTTATGTACAACAGAAACTTTGGATTTAGTTTTCTTATTTCCTCATGTGGTTAACACGTTTTTTTTGTTTATATTCTAAAAGGCTGTGATAATCAAATATAGCATGATCTTTAGAATAATTAAAACTTTAAAATCAAATACATTATTTTCTTTAGCCATTGTTATTTTTTTTCTTTAAAAAAGTTTTAAAAACAAGTAATTACCACAGATGTTTGTTACATTACAGCCTAATTTGTCTTACCTTCGATTTTATTGTTTATATTTGGTGTTTGAGAAACCACTATTGTTTTTGTTTTTGAAATTTCTTAAGATTTAAAAAAATGTTCTTCTGTGTTTTTGACTTTTTGAGAAACTTCAAAAAGTTATTCAAAACAGAAGTTGTAATGATGCTTGGGTAGTTATATAGTTTTTCAATGTAGAAATGAACTATTAAAGTAATTGTGTGTGCCAAATATAGGATATTCATTCCAGAATTATGGAAGAACTTGATTTTTAAGTACCTGCTGTTGTTACTGTATGTGCTTTACTAGTCTGTTAGTAAACTGGTTTATGATTGTTTCTTACAACACTAGATGTTCTCTCTCTCTCTTATAAGTTTGGAAATTTAAAAGATTGTCTATGCTCTAGTACCTAGGAAAATTTGCATTTATGTTTTTCTCTATTGTTTAGTAAAAGAGCATAGTTTTATTTACATGAAATCATGGAAAGTGGTTGGAATCTGTGGTTTTTGTGTAATATAACAATATATTGAGTATAGATATATGTCAAAATTCTGTGTTGTATATAAATATATATCAAACTACCAAATTTTTCAAAACAGAAATGTTTAATTGTTTTAAATTGGGTGATATGTAGCATGAGGGATATGATATCTTGAACTAAATTCAATCATTGTGTGTGTGAGATAACACTACTTGTTAATTTCTGAAGGATTAAATTACCAAGTATTGTAAATTGAAACTGAACAAGATGAAGATCTCATCAGTGTGAATTGATTTTCATAGCTACATATTATTTCTATTTTCAATTCTGTGTTAATAGATCAAGTCAGCACCATTAAAAATACAACACTACCACAATTACAAAATTGTATTTTAACAACTGTTTATACAATATGTTATTTCATATAATAATTTGCAGCTAACCTGCCTTTTTCTTGTTTTTTAAATATATAACTGGAACTGGCTTTCTTCTGGCATGTTCTGACTCATCATCTTTGTAGGCCTTTTAAAACTTAAGTTTAAAAAGTAGATTGTAACAGGTTAGTTTAGAGCTTTAAGTCTTTTCGAAGTTGTTTAAAATGTTACAGTGAAATGTAATCTATATGATTCAAATTAATATAATTCAGAAAAATCTAGTTGTTTAAAATCTTGCAATAAAATGTAACTTACATGATTCCAAGAAATGTAATTCAGAAAGTATAGTTGTTACAAGTCTTGCAGTGAAATGTAATCTATATGATTCAAATTAATGTAATTCAGAAAAACCTAGTTGTTTAAAATCTTGCATTGAAATGTAATTTACATGATTCCAAGAAATGTAATTCAGAAAGTATAGTTGTTACAAGTCTTGCAGTGAAATGTAATCTATATGATTCAAATTAATGTAAT